TGATTGCGTGAGTCAAGGCAGAAGAGACTAGACTAAGCAACAGCCATGCTGTTGGGTAGATCAGAGGACATGATAGAAAGACATGTGGGCTGGAAGATGTACACATCTTAATCACTGATTGGATGTAGGGAGTAGAGGAAAGGTTTGTGGTATCCACCACTGCAATGCTTATATATTGATAAGTTAGGAAATCTCTACTTTTACTCCCCGCATGGGAATACAAAAATTAATTTTTAAAGCTAAGACAATAAATCCAGTGCTTTCCAAACATATTTGAAGAGAGCACTTGCTAGAAGTATCTTTGAGTTGACTGCCACTTAATCTTAGAATCACTGTAACATTTTTTAATATTTTATTTATTATTTTTATGTGTATGAGTATATTGCCTGCGTGTGTGTGAGTGCACCCATGTCATGCAATGCTGCAGAGGTTAGAAGAGGGCTTCGGATTCCCCTGGAACTGGAGTTAAGGACGGTTCATAGCCACCATGTGGGTGCTGGGAATCGAACCCGGGTCCTCTGCAAGAACAGTCAGTGCTCTCAATCGCTGAGCCATCTATCCAGCCCCTAGAATCACTATAATATTTAATAACAGCATTGGGTGCAATTATTTTGGGCTTCTTCCTTTTCATAAACTGTGGCCTCACTGCCAAAGAACCTAATCTCTCAATGTACAGTAGCTTTGGACTTGAAGATTTGCTGTCTCATTTGTAGTTGTAATAATTTGTTATATGAATTTGTATTGGGTCTTGGTGTAGTAGATGGTGTAATGGTTATTGTCATTATTTTACTACATCAAGACCCCAATACATGTTTATATAATGTTAATGTTTTCTTTGTGACAGTGCAGAACTTTCTGACCTTCAGTAAAGATATTATCAGCCGTTTACAATTTTTCTTGTTACCTGAAACAACTATATTTCTAGGTATGAAAAGATATTGATGTACTGATATTAGGTTGATAGATGAATAGATAGCTATACAAAGGGACAGGCAATGTTTTATGGTATTGTAAATAAACGAGTGGTGATATTATAATATATGGAGATTAACATGGGGTTTTGGTGTCAAATCCTGGTTTCACTGCCTAGTGACTAAAACAGCCTGGGGCAAGTTTCCTAATCTCACTGAGCTTTAGTTTCTTCTTGATAACTTTTTAAAAAAATGTTTCCTCCCTTATAGAGTTCTTGTGATGGTTAAATGACAGAATATACAGCACAGCTTGGCTCAGTGTTTGGCACTCCAAAAGTACTAAGAAAAAAGAGGAGGTAAAAGAGGAAAAGGAAAAGGAGGGGAAGAGGAAGAGGAAGAGGAGAATAAGGGAGAGGAGGGTGAGGAAGGAGAAGAGGAGGAAGCGGAGGAGGAAGAGGAGGAGGAGGATGGGGAAGAAGAGAAGGAAATGGAGAGATCTTAAGTAATGATCCAACGAATCAGATTTTGTTGAATTGGGCCATCTCAATGATTTAGGTGTTTCAAATGAAAATACATTATTCTTAGTGCTTACCATCCTAATTTAGGTGACATTTGATAAAAAATAACCAAAATGCATGTTGTACAATACACTCTAGCTCTGTGATTTAATCTCTAGGAATAAATAAAGCTACTTTCAGTGTACTAATGAAAAAATAATTGTCTTCTAAATAAGGCATTTATCATTAACTATGATTAATTCCACTCTAATAGGAAACCTTTTCACATATATATAAGCAAGAAAATATTTTGTTGGGGTGTGTGCATGCCTGTGCAGAGACCAGAGGTCAGAGGCAAATGTCTTTCTCCATCCCTCTGCATCTTATTTCTTGGAGGCAGTATCTCTTACTGAACCTGAAGCTGGGACATCCAGCTAAATTGACTGGCCAGACAAGCCCCCAGGGTCCTCTTTTCTCTGCCTCCCAGCACTAGGTTTACAAGCATGTGTCCCTGTTTTACCCAGCTTTTTACGTATATGCTGAGGATTCAAACTCAGGTCCTCATGCTTGTGCAGCAAGCATTTTACCTAAGAAAATTTTTTTAGCTACAAAAAGAGACTCAACCCTATCAGAGCTACAGCAAAATTATTCTTGTATATCCTGGATACAGCTTAACTTTCTACATCACTTTCATATGTCTGTGTTTCTCTGTCCTCTAGCATACTTAAGCATGATGTAAATACATTGAGGCCATTTCCATTTATATATCATGATAGTGAATTCATATACTTTGTCAAAATTTTAAAATCCTAGACTTCTGTTCATTTCTGCCTGAAAAAGGTAATATGAGAAGCTGGTGTAGTTGAGCATATAACAGGATGGTTGGAGTTGCCAGTGATTAGATTTGCTATCTGCCAGCATGTGCAGATATTCAAATCCATTCAGGTGAATAAAGCTGTTGAGAGATTTTTTTTCTTCCTCCACCACTGCTACCCTCGTCAGAGCCACCATCACCTTTATCTAGAACATGTCATTAATCTCCTTTGCCCTGCTCTCAGCTTCCTCTGTTTTCCACTCAGCAGCCAGAAAGACCAGGCCATGCCACTCTTCTACTGACCAGCCATCCTAATAAACCCTGCCATCACACCCAGCAAACCCACACCATGACCCACAACCTACTCACCTCCAAGAATGACCGTTCCCCTTCCTTACTGTACTGAATACCTTTCTACAGGGACACCAGTATATTCCTCTTCAAAGGTTTTATGCTAGCTGTTTCTTCTACCTGGGAATTCTCCCTAGGGGTTTCCCATAGGAAACTTGAATCATATTTAGATTCAGATTAAATATCATCTCATCTCTTCAGATAGGCCTTTCCTGACCACTGAGAAAATTTTTCTTAATGAGCACATTTTCACTTTGAAAACATAAAGTAGTCATAACAATGTTTAGAATATGTTTATTTGATTACTCATATGAACTTGCAATAATGATGTCAGCATGCATAAGACTCAGTCTGACTCAATCGGGCAAAAACCCAGCATAGAACTGGGGAAAGGGCAGCAGGCCCCAACCCCAGCCAAGGAATTATTGACAATTGATTATTACAGGGTGAGGGAGAATAGATGTTCTTTAAGGACTCTAGATAGGCTGACTGGACTCCAGTATTTGAACTTGCACCAAGGAACATCTGCATACAAATGCTTGACCAGATAGAACTTAACATATATGACAGAATATGTGAAATCTGGTGGCAGATGAGGGGCTAAGGTGAGTGCAGATGGAGAAGGAGATCTAAATTTGAATAAGTCTATTATATGAAATGCACAAAAACCCAATAAAATATAAAAAGAATATGGTCATTTGAAAAATATTTACATTGTGCAGTAATAGTAGTCAAAGAATTAATTCTTCAGGTCTCTGAATCATCTATTCAGTGCCTTGCCACAATGGGAGGAAGATCACCCCACACCTATCACCCCCTCCAAGGTTCAGGAACTTCCGTGTAAGAGGTTGGCAGAAAGAATGTAAGAGCTGGAGAAAGGGGTGGAGTGTTACCTGGAAGTGTCCTCTGACCACTATGCCAGCAAGCTAAATCACACCTTCCCACAGTCCTCAATGAGTTGATGGGGGGTCAGTTACCCCTCCCACCCAATCAGGCAACCTTAGCTGCATGTGAGGGAGGGGCTAAGGATATATAAGCCAAGAATGCCACGAGGCACCTCTCTCCCATTTTGTGCAGCTCTAGGGAAGTCACAGGATGTATATTTGAGTATAGACTTTCCAGTGTGGCTGTAAATGGGGAGTGCCCCCTCTTCTGTAAATAAACCCCTACCCTATGCTCTGTTAGCAAGCCCAATAAACTTAAGATTAAAAAAAAAAAAAAAACAGAGCTAATGGAAACCTTCATTACTCCACCAAAGTTGACTTCATGTTGGCAAGTCCATTGGTCTTTGATTTCTTATTCTTATTTTTCCCCTTAAACTTCAGTATATATATTTTTATGTAACCTGCCTCAAGTTATTTCTCTTTGGAATAATAAAAAAAGTAAAAAAAAAAAAAAAAAAAAAAAAAAGACAGTAATGAAGTTCTTTTCTGATTAAAAAAAGTTAAAACATAGTAGCTTGACAATTTAAAAAATAAAAAATAATTAATTCTTCAATATTAGTTAGCATTACTTAGTATTTTCCTGCAGATTCTGTTCTTTCTAGGTGCTCTTAGGTGCATACTTATCTGCATTGTAATGAAATTGTATCCTGTACATGGGAAATCTCTGTCTCCAAAAGGAGTTGGCTGCACCCTATCCAATAGTTACTTCCCAGTAGAAAAAATTCTAACACTTCTAACAATAGCAGAGAAAATTCTAACAATTTCTCTCGATAAGGTGTTCTAAACCTCAGTTGGTCAAAGACTGATGGGAAACTGAAAAAGAAAGGAAAGTGATGTGCTGGTTTTAAATACAGATGTTCTCAGGCTGGTGTAATTCTGCACTAGCACATTTACCTAGCATGCTGGAAGCCCTGAGTTCAATCTCCAGCATCACCAAAAACACAGGAAAAAATGTGAAAAATGGAATGCCCCAAACAAATTCTACAAATAACTGAAAAAGTCGTGGATCTGAATAGGCATTCCCAGGGCCACAGCCACCCTCCTAAGTGAATTAAATAAGTATAGCTATTTGAAGTGATCAAGCTTATCTCTTACAATTGAATAGGCTTAGCACCTCTGTAGGCCTAGGAAGGGGATTCTATCTTGCTTAATTATTGCATTTATATGTGTCAGAACCTCCTTTGAATTTGCAGTAAGTGGTCATGTGCCTATGTGTTAAACCTCCTCAAAAGTACAAACATGTCACCTGCCAGGAACATTTTATAGAGCTGTAATCTATTTTTGTTTGACAGGCATATATAGAAGGCTAATTATACTTTGGGGATAAATTCCATGATATGATATTAAATATAGAGAGCAAAATTTATTATCATCTGTGTTCTGTGCCAAACTGTTTTTGGAAACGTTTTGTTTTTTCACCCATTTTTTTTCCCCTACAACTATTATCCCTCTGATAAACACTGTTTCTGCTTGACTATTTCAGCACTTTTGTGTAATGGAAAATTTCACAAACATTTGCAAGAGCTCTTTGTGCCCTTGGTTGTCCGCTATGTCGACCTCATGGAGTCCTCCATCGCCCAGTCAATTCACAGAGGTTTTGAGCAGGAGACATGGCAACCTGTCAAGTAGGTACCCTGGTGTCCACAGACCATCTGTCTCTCAGTCCTGACCTTATGACTTTACCCATGGCCATCTGTGGTTATCGCTTATGGTGGTCCCTTCCCACGTTGTTTGTTTCTTTACAGGAATATCGCCAACAGTCTTCCCAATGTAGCTCTTCCAAAAGTTCCAAGTCTGCCTCTTAATCTTCCACAGATTCCTAGCTTTTCTACTCCTTCATGGATGGCTTCTTTATATGAGTCCACGTGTGTATCCCTCACTTATTTCCTGGTGGTGTGTTAGCTAGTGCATGGCCTGGGCTGTATTCTGTGCACATGTGTTTAGATTGCATGGCATTTATCATCGTTGGTTGAGGAATACTGTTTTGGCTTTATTTGTTTGAGTGTTTTAAAGCTGTCAAGCTGAGCTTAGCATATCGATGATAAATGATGCAGATTGAAAAGAAAAAGAAATTGTGCTGGCTTGATGTGACTCGTGTATTCTTTGTGGCCAATATCTTTCTTTAAAGCCATGTTGTAGAATATATCCTAAGTATCCTAGAGCCAGAATTCCCCCCGTGTGGTAGCAGTTGCAGTAAATACATTTCAGGGATGCTTAGGTTCTTTTTCTGCCCATAATTTTCATTGTCCATGGAGAAAGTGGTATGAGATGGTTTCAAGAATATCATCTTTTTCTATTTTTTCTTAGTCTGAACATTAAAGAAACAGAACTCTACCTTGCAGAGAAGCAGTTGTTCCTTATTTTCCAGCATCAGGAAGTTCTTTTGTTCCCTTCATGTGTTGGTTGATAAACCTTACTATTTGGAGGGGGTTGTTTTTGTTTTGGTTTTGGTTTGGTTTTTTTTGGTCCTTTTGAGACAGGGTCTCCCTGCAGCCCCAGCTGTCCTGGAACTCACTGTGTAGACCAGGCTGGCCTTGAACTCGCAGAGATCAGCCTGCCTCTGCCTCCGGAGTGCTGGGATTGAAGGCGTGTGCCACCATGCCTGGCTTACACCTTACTATTTTAAGATAATCTTGATACCTTTAAAAAGCCATATTTATTAACTTCACATTGTTGTGAGCCTACTGCAAATTCAGTAACTTGAATGCATTAGGGAAAGAGGCTCTAAAATTAAATAAACCTGATCTTAGACTTTAACTTATGAAGAAGAAATTATAGCCTCACTTTCCTCAACTCTAAAATGGTTATGATACCTAATTTAAAAGATAGTATTGGGGGGTTAAAAATTGTATTTTAAAGCTGTATAAAAGTGCCTGGCACATCCTAGGCTTTCCATAAATAATTATTACCATTGACACACTCTAACTGCCCAGTAAGCAGTCATTAATACTATGCTGCATTATCATTATTATAACTGGCAGTCATCATCTTATTTATGTTGTATTCCTTTAATGACTCTGAGCCTCATAGCAGTGAAATGAACTAAGTTACACACCTTGTTTACAAATTTACAGATTTAGTGTGTTAAAAAACACTGACATTGTTTGCTCAAGATCTCACATGAATTTAATTAGAAAGAATAAATTTTAGAAGAAATATTTGGAAAATTAAAAGAATGTGTTTGTGTACACATTGCTATGTTCTACGTACAGTACCAATTTCTTTATCTCATTTTATCCTTATAACAGCTCTGTAAGGTAAGTACCATTGTCTCCATTTTGCAGTTAAAGAAACGCCATTCACAAGGAAATTAAGAAACAAAATGTGTCCAGTATCTCATTTCAGTGATGAGCAAAATTTGAACCCAGGCTTGCTGGACCTCAAAGTCCTCTGTATTATTTACTTTGATTTGGCTTCCAGAGAACAGACTGCTGCAAAACTCAGTTAGCTTTCCCTCTTCCCACCACCAACTATCAAATCTGTACTCAGTCTAGGATATAAACAGTCATGGAAACAAACAGGAGACCAAGAAAGAGAATACTAAGGTTGTAAAACAGTTTGTGGTAGCATTTTTCCAGGAGAAACATCATAACTGAACTGGTAATAATTACTAGGATATGGTGTTACATGTCAATCTTTTTCTTACAGGCAGAGTTTTGTGCTATTATAATATGTAGAGTGGTTTCTGTATGTGCTCAGAAATTACCTACCTATAAGTTATAAGGAGCCTTTCTAAATTTATGATTTGGGGTATCTGTACTGGTGTATAATGTAAATCCCCCTCTTCCTTCATTCTTCATCTGTTTAAAACTTTTGTTTCAAACTGGGACACTGCTGTGGACATTATCCTGTAAAAAGGATTAATTTCTTGTTATTGTTATTTTCTTAGCTTTGAGATTTTTGTGAAACCTAAATCCTCTACTGCTAGAACCCCTTTAAAAAATGGTGTGAATCTCAAGATAGAAATCATGGGGGTTTTATAAATAAAGTGATGGTACTATCAACATCCTAGACAAATAAAAATGTGTTTCACATGCTGATCATCATGATCTTTTCCAAGATTATCAACATTAGGATCATCGTTGTCATAGTGACCATAATTATTTAGAATGTTATGATATTATACAATTTCCTTTTTAGTAGTGTATATTATACAAAATGATGGGATTCATTATTACATTCTCATACACGTGCATCATGTACTTTGACCTTATTTATCTTCCTTGTGCTGTCTTCTATCCCCTTCTTCCCCAATGGTCTCCTTCCTGTTTTTAGATAGTTCCCCCTTCTGCTTTCAGTTCTTATTAGGTCTTAGTCCAGCATATAAGAAAATAAAACGTGTATATTTGCCCTTCTGGCATGGCTTATTTGGTATAACTATCACCACTTCTAACCATTTTCCTATTGTAATTCACTTTTTGATGTTTCATTATAAAACATTAAATAGCACGAAATATTTACATTTCATATGTAAATTAAAGATATGAATTAAAGACATGACCAGTGGTAAGGTAGAAATGCACATGAGAGCAAGGAGATTGGGACATAGTAGTAGAGCAAGGCTGTTATGCAGGGTCTAGATTTGATCCCTAATACAACAAAGTAAATAATTAATAAATACATACCTAGGACCATATATAATCATGGGTTTGAAATTCTGTTCCAATATATATCAATATGGTATATGTTGAGGTACTTATAAAATATTTAAGAAGAAAAAGCTATATGATCCCTCCATATCCCTCTCTGTAGATACAACCGTTATTTGGGGGAGGAATGATGGTTAGGTCTGTCTGGAGATGATTGCCATTAAGATAAATTTCCTACTGGCTTGTTATAGCAGAGTTCATTATTCATATTTGAATTCTTTAATCTGTAAATAATACCTTTAGTAATAGGTCACTGCTTAGGAATAATTTTAAATGAAAAGTCTCTGAGCAAATTGCAGGTTACCTATACCAACTCCAAAGAAAACCTATTTTTATTTTTTACAGCTATTTAATTATAATAAACACTTGTTATACTAATTATACTTCCAATTAAACACATTTATTGTCTATGATCTTAGCATAGTATCAAGCAGAAGAAAAATATCTCCGTCTCGCCATAAAGATAATTGTCTCACATTTTGTGCAAGAAAACTTAATAGAATTTTGCCTTGACTATTTTAGTTTTTGTTTTTATGATGGTTTTTATTGTCATTGTGTTACTAAAAATAAACATTTTAAAATTTATAATTTTCCAAAAGTTATATGAATCAGATTTGTTTCTTGCCAATTATATCCAATGAAAACATAGAGATCTTCTAGCTGTACTCTGTGGCTACATGAGGGGAGGGGAAGTTCCCTGCTCATTTTTTTTTTTCATACCTTACTTGTACATGTGGCCAAAGGAGAAGTAAAAATGATATTTTCTAAGTAGTGTCAGTATAATCATGCTGCATTTGGCACATATTAGGGTGAGGAGACAGTCAGTAGTAAAATTTTATGGATACTATTCAGTTGTGTTATGATTGGTCTCTTGAGAACTTAGCTCTGAGGAAAACTTGTGTAGACCAGGAGATATGGAATTCCTGGAAGAATGGGTTGGGGATAGTGGCTTAATTTGGAGACAGAGCTGAGACACTGAGGCCAGGAGAGAGGGCAGAGACCAGGCTTTTAATTAGCCAGAGCAAGAGGTGATTCTTCTAAAGCTAGCTAATTAAGATATATTTAGCTAAACAATGGGTTATTTAAAATAATTTGTTTTAAAGTTTGCCACTGTGCCCTTACAATATATGAGTTTGTTTTATTTATTTCATTTTGTTTTGCAAAATAAGAATACACATTTTGTTTAGTATTTGTGGAGCAATTGCTAGAACACTGAGGATAAACGAATCAAACATTGCTTTTTATTTTCTTGCTTCTGCGTTGTTCTGTTTCTGCAATTTTCTAATGTAGGAATATTTTACTTTCAAACATCTCTTGCCCTATTAGCTGGATACTTGGATCATGGAAAATAGTAGTATTGTCCTTTGCCCAAATAATTTATAAACTCTTCTACAGATTACCTGACTCATACATGGTATGAAAATAGAGCTCCCTAGAGTGATGTTTTTATCAAAGTAGTGAATGTATAACACACTCCTGCTCCATTGTTAAGCATAAAGACGTGAAATGCATGATTGCTCCAATTTTAGAGCACCTTGTATATTATTTCTGTGCTGTGCCATACCTGTAATGTTAGATTTTAATTTTGAACAGAAAGGGGGTGTAAAGCATTTCAAAATGGAAATAAAGTTTGCTTTCCTGTCTAACCTATTATTTCCAGTAACTGTCTCACCTTTTCTGTAATTGAAGAATGTGAAGATCCTGTATACCACACTGCTGTAGATAAAAGCCATAATGCTAAGACAGAATTTGCATGAATTAGTTAGGCTACTAGGTATGCGATATAAATTTGCTTGCACAAAACACATTCTTTCAAATCTCTAAGAGAAAATAGTTTTATGCATTCATCATTAGCTTATAGATTGGTAAAGAACATTTAAAATGTTGGTTCTTATACATACAATTTTATTTCTTTAGTATCCATACCCATTTTATTCCTCTTCATGGATGCTTCCTACCACATTTATTTCTTGTATGTTCTTTCTGCCTTAACTTATGAAGACGTTGATAGGAAGAATGAAAAGCAAAACAATAAAAACATTGGATGATGAGAGATTATATATGTCATATTTTTATTAATGGCAATAAGTATAGAAAGGAAGATAAGTGTACTGATGGTCTATGTAGTCAACAGTGGAAGTTTACGATCTTTGTTTTTCCTCTTTCTTCTAGCAATGGCTCAGCAACATCTGAAGACCTTTTTTGGAAACTTGATGCACTGCAAATGTTTGTCTTTGACCTACATTGGCCAGAACAAGAATTTGCCCACCACTTAGAGCAAAGACTTAAACTAATGGCCAGTGATATGATAGAGGCCTGTGTCAAAAGGTAGACATGTATTTCAAGTTGCTGCTTAATATACCAGCACCCAGAATGCCACCGTTTACCAAATACTTGGTACATAGTAATCACAGAAAAGAATTCAGTGTGTACCACTGTTTCAAAATGTAGAGGGTAGTACATTCTATGACCTGAATTCTGGGAGCCCATGTAATGATTAAATTGACCTGATGATATTTTTTATTCAGGCCTCCTACCCATCATACTAATTAATCAGTAGCATCCATACTGTATTAATCATATCTACTGTGCATTATCTTTCTGGGAATACTGTACTTTATAGTCCCAAAGTAATATCCCCTGGGACATATAGGAATGGTCTGCGGAGTTCTTTATGCATTATGTATGATGTCTGTGTGCAGTGAAGTGGTATGACACACTCAAAACGCAATCAGCACCATCGGTTGCTCTGGGATTACTCACTGTTTTCTGGAATTCCCAAGCTGCATTAGATAAGTTCCAAGTAACACTCTGCAGTTGTTAAGCACTTAACCAGAAATAAATTCCAAGGCTTTGAATTTTGCAAATGTTTGCATTCTTGCAAATATGCTTTCATTTTTAATGACTCTTACAAAAATCAGCATTGTATCCTAGTTAGTGAAGCAGGTGTTTTCCATTGCCTTTGCTTATGATAAGTTTTTATGTCGATGATATGTGGGGCAGTACATTGGAATAACAGTCAAACACTAGTTGGAACCATGGAATACTCCTAAATTCTTTAAGCCAAAAAAGCCCATGTCCTTAGAATGATGTAGCATTCTAATGCCCTCCTAAGGCAAGACTGTGAATTAGATTATTTTTTAAAGAATCATTTGTAATCCTAATGTCTCAAATCTGTGGATCAGATCATTGAGCCAGGGGCTTTAGCAAAGACAAATCTGAATTGCCTACTTTGCAGTTTCTTCCAAGAGCCCGCCGGCAGCTGCAGGGGTTTCAGAGACAATTTAAATGACATAAATGAATTGTAGTTCTCTGTTGTGTAGTGCCATTTTTTAGTTTTTCAGATTTGTTTTTTTTTTTCAATTTGGTAATCTATAACATTGATTTTTTGTTCTGCTTTAATAAAAAAATAACCATGCAGTTTTTCTACTTGGAAAATAACTTAGGAAATAAGTAAAACTATGGTGTCTGCTATTAAGTATGGTGCATTTGAGACACCTGAAAAGAACATCCCAGCGTGCCCCACCCCGATCCCTCAAGCTCTTCCATGCTGCTCACTGGGCATTTGCATGTTTTATGTTAACATCATATAGTGTTGATTTCACTCTTACAGATGGGTGGAATATATGTCAGAATTTCTTACCCTGAACTCATGTTTTAAATACTAGAACAAGAACTGCATTTGAACTCAAGCTGCAAAAGGCAAACAAAACAACTGATTTGCGCATTCCAGCTTCTGTGTGTACAATGTTTAATGTACTAGTTGATGCTAAAAAGCAAAGTACCAAGCTCTGTGCCCTGGATGGAGGACAGGAGGTAAGTCCTGTGGAATTGCAGTGCAGGAAGTCTTGGTTGGGAGGAGGATCCTGTGCTTAGACAGCTTCTCCTCTTGTGTATAAATACTGCCTAAAACTTTCCAAGTGGCCTTTGAATTTCACATATACCATTTAGGTATTGTCTTATTTACATAAACCTTGCTTTTTTACAAGCAAATGAGAAAGCTAAAAATCTACCTACTTTGTTTATACAAATTTAGAACACGCAGAGTTTGCATCCATAAAAGCAAGCTACAGAAATACAACAGATGAAAACCTTTGTTTACACAAACATTTCCATTTTTAAGGATCAAGTAAATGTATACTTTAAAGCTAGTTCTTATTGCACCCAGTGAGATAGCTCAATGTTGCTTTCCACAAAACCTGATGACCTGAGTTCAATCCCTGGGACCCACATGGTAGAAGAGAAGGAACAGCCTCTAACCTCCACTCAGCACCACGGCACCCTCCCTATACCTTCCTCCGCATATACCCTTCTCACACATGCACACAAATAAATGTAATTTAAAATTAACTAAAAATTAGTCATTATTTATATTTCATTTTGCTTCCATTTATATTTTTGTTTTAAATTCAAAATCGCAGCATTGTCTTTCCTCATGATTTATTTTTGCTCAGAGTCGTAACTGGGTAAAAGTTGGTCTGTACTTCTGAGATTGTCTATTGACACTGACGTTGTTGTGTCTTTTCCCATTGCCATTACTTTTTTCATCACTTCTTTATTCTTCCCTTGTGTTCTCTTTCATCATTATTTTGTTTTCCTCCATCACATGATCCAGTTTGGGAGTCAGTGGGTAAGTCGCTTGTTTTGGTTTTGGTTTTGGTTTTGGTCTTGGTCTTGGTGGGGGATGGTTGTTGACTTCTTTGTATGTTGTGTTTTGGGAAAAGCACATTTATATTTTAGAGTTGTTTACTTTTTGTTTTCATCCTTTCAAATTAAAATATTCTCTTTTCAAGGCTTTTTTAGGCTTCTGTGTGTGTCTAGATGATTAACATCATGTGAATACTTACACATTAAACAGGGCAAAGAAGAAGGTGTTTCTCCCTGTCAGGCTGCAGAATCTAAAAAATACTCTTATGTTTTCCAACAATAAAATTATTTAAATTCAAATGAATTCACTATCCCTTAAATGAAAATTTAAATAAAATTTAGAAGTGACCATAGTAATTTCAAGCATGTTTCTATAGTATATAGTCTTGATAGCAAAATAATTTAGAGTTGGAGCTTTAGGTGGTGTATACCATATGTCCAGATAACTCCTAAATATTGGTATCAGGAGGCACCCCATACCCAAAGCCACTTCATACAGATGAGCTCCAATGTGTTTTTCAGTGAAGAACAGTCCCACAGTAACCTGGAATGTAAGCACCGTCAAAGAGGCAGCCTGCATCATGAAATTCCCACCCTCACTCATAAAAGGAAACCCCAATCATAGCTAAGGAACCATTGGTAACCAATAGCCTCTGGGAAAGAGAGAATCAGTTTTCTTTAAGGGTGTGACAGTAGATAGATTAACCAGACTCCAGTGGATGGATGCAACAAAAGTTGTGTGTATGTGTGTGTGTGTGTGTGTGTGTGTGTGAGAGAGAGAGAGAGAGAGAGAGAGAGAGAGAGAGAATACATGAAATTGAGTGAGGCATATATATTAAGGGGAGGTGCAGAAAGAGGAGGGGGTCTAAATATGATCAAAATACTAATGAATGAAATTGACAAAAATCAATTAAAAATTAAAGATTATCCTGAAGTACCACCCCAAACCTCTGAGGTGCAGGGCCTCAAAACATTATATGCACATGACCAACCAGGTGGCACTCTGTTGTTGCTGCTGTTGTTAGTATTTTTTGTCCTCCATGAACAGATTAATTTTTGTAAGTCACCCTGCTGAAACCTAAGAGTCCAATAGCAAGGCCAGCCTTATCTAGCTAACAGTGTTAATCCAGTCTCAAAGGCTTGGCTAACTATAAATGCAGATAAGAAAGATTCCTGAGTTTCATTCTTATTCAACTAAAATATAGACATTAGCTCTTTGGCCTTAAATGTGTATATGTATATATATTCATTTTATTCTTTTTCCAACTTACAGATAAAAATGTGTCTCTAGTACCATAGCATACAGTATTACAAATATACACATAAAGAAATGACATGCTAGTGTTACAGAATGTTCAGTAATTATTACTGTCTGATCACATACAACACCATTTATTATCTTTAATTATATGAATGAATTGGCAACTAACTTAGATGCCAGTGGCCCTAATCACCTCCTCATGCTTTTCAATACCCAGATGTAAACCTTTGCCTGTCTGTCTGAGAACACTATCTTAAGTGTCTTCATAAGCCGGCTTTTTTCTCGATTGTAGAATCATCTTCCTGAAGATATTAGGTGTATCTATTAGTCCATATTTTAACATGCACACATAGTTGACACATAGCAGGCACCTGGTAAATATGTGTTGAATAAATGAAGAGGCCAATTTGTTGCCACTCTGTTAAAAATTCTCCCCTGTAAGAAACAACTCATCCTACTCAATCTAGTATTTAAAAAGAAAACCAACCATTGTACTCACAAATGACAAACACTCTTGCATGGTCAAATGATTCTTTATATTAATAGGTGAGTGGTTTTGAAAAGTAATCTTCTACTGTTCATTATGTCTGCATCTGTACCTTCTCACTAGAGACAATTAGTTCCCCACAACTTTCACACAATTAATGTCGTTGAAAATGTGCAGGTGTAAAATCCATTAGCAACCCTGTAAAGTGGTAAACAAGAATTTCAGTATAAAAATAAAGGGATGGTATATGTTGCTTTTACTCTCCAATAAATGCATGTGTGTAATTATACAAGCACTCTCTGTCTCTGCATCTCTCCTGGCTCTCTGTCTCTACCTTTCTGTCTCTGTGCCTGAGTCTAAATTTTGAAACTGTAGCAAAAGCACATATATTGTAAGCATTGGTGAACAAGAAGACATTACATTCCAGAAAGCAACAAAATTGTTCACAAAAACTAAACTACTGGACAATTCAAAACTGTGTAAAACATATACCACAGAGTTAAACTTAGAGGAAATTATCTCCAAATTAGAAAGAAATTACCTCACTGAACACTATAGTAATGTGTTACTAGTATATTGTTATTGCTGAAATTGAACTTTACATTTCTGACCACTCTGCAGTCTCATCTATGTTCCTAAATTGCATTTCTATTTTGTTACCTGCCACATGATGATGCAAAGGTGCTCTCCAAGGCCCAGAATAGAGTTTAATGAAGTGATTAATGAGTGAATGATCTGCTCATATGACAGCTGTGTATAATGAGTCAGCAGTCTCAGTCTCAGGCCAGTCCCTCAGGACAAATGTCGTAAAACAACAGCAGTGTTTAGAATCCTTAGTTATCCACTGCTGCAGAAAAGCAGGTGACTGCCTACACTGTGGCAGCCATCTGCCTTCACAGCCATTTCATCTCATGGTCCCATTGGTTGAGAATGAATGTGAACACATTAATGGGGTAACTCAGGGGAGGAAAGGGGCCCTACTTCTGGAGGATTAGGTCCCAATTAATGTAGAATGTTTCCATTCCCAGTACGAGCAAACCAATCCTACTAAAATGCATCCCGAGAGAAGGACTGATATCTAGGTAACACTGGCATTGGGTTGGTCTCCATTTCTAGTGTCTTTGCATGTGAATAGTCCAGTTAAATCATGATGGTCACCTAAGTATAGCGAGACCAGGATTTTAGATCTGCCTGGACTCTGAAGCAAGGATTCCGAAGTGGTTATGGAGTATAAACTCAGTCACTTGCAGAAGCAAGGTATAATCAGTTTTCTCTTGAGGACAGATGTAGAAAGAATTAGATTAAGACTGAGCTGTATTCTATCAATCTTGTGATACTTAGGAGTGACAATCCAACTTGAAATATTGTAATAAGATTCTATTATTAAATAAGTAAACTAAATTTTTATTGAGGTCTTGGAGTTGGGGAGATGACTTAATCAATAAAGTACTTATTATACAAACATGAAGACATGAATTTAATCCCTAGCACTCATGTGGAAAAAAAAAAACAAAAACTGTTGTTATGACGCAGGCTGTAATCCTAGTGCCGCGGAGGCAAAAACAGAAAGATTGCTGGGCCTTGCTGGCTAGCCAGCCTAGCCAAATTGGCAAGCCCCAGGCCAATGAGAGACCCTGTCTCAAAACTCAAGGTGGACAGCTGCTAAGGAAAGGCACTCAAGATTGTTCTTTAGCCTACACATGCATATACATACATGTGCACATACCTGTACCCACATATGTACACTCACACACACACCAATTTATAGGGCTTTTTGTGTTGTTGGGGACAAAGACTTTCCAGATTCATACTTGGTTTGCCCCTTGAATAATTCATTGAAGATATATACTTCTTAATCCATTTCTTACAATTTCATTTCATTCATTCTTTCTGTTAAATGATGCTTAAGTCTTAATGTCATTTTTTATAAATTTTTTTAAATGCTTTAAACAAATTCTAATATTTTACCTATTCACTTCTAGCATTTATAAAGTGATTATAAATGCACTGAATCTTGTACATGTGGCCATTTAGTGTCACTTGAATTCTTACCTGAGTAAGGATGAAGTATCCCTCTCCCTGAGGTTTTATTTGTCTCTTTTTATCTCTCTTCCTCCTTTTTCTCTCCCTTTCTATGTCCAGATCATTATCAAAAAAAGTGATAGCCTAAGGATGTGTGTTATCAGAATTGCTTGACTCCTTTGGTCCATTGGCTTTCCCTACATTTCAGCAGAATGAGTATAAATCATTTCTTTAGTGGCTCATCACTGATTTTTAAGAACTTACAGAATTAATCCAACGCACAGGTTTAACATGAAGAACTCTGTTGTTTTATATGTGATAGTGTCCTGGGGATGGGCATGTTCCCATGTTGTACAGTGCTGGTGGAAGCCAAAAGAGGGCATTGGGTTCTCTGGTACTGGAGTAACAGACAATTGTTAGCTGCCATGTGGGTGCTGGATATGGATCCTTGAACCCCAGTCTTCTTCAAGAGCAGCCAGTGCTCTTAATTGCTGAGCCATCTCCAGTCCCATCGAAAGGTGTTTTTAAGCATGCCTAGGCCTCAGTGCTTAGCTCCACTTGCCCAGACATGGGTGCACTTACGTTACATGCAGTCATAACACTCATACACATAAAAATTAAAATAAATCAAAAAAAGTTTAAAGAACATTTTTTGGAAGTCTAGATACCTCAATAACCCTTCTCTGTTTTGGAGTACATTCCATTTTTGAGAGATATACGAAGCATCATGCCCATCTACTGTATCCCTTTCCAGTTCCACCCACAGAGGGGCCAGGACTGCTGTTTCCTTTCTTTGTGCTGCACAGACTCAGTCTGAAGCAGAGGACATGAAAAGAGAAAGGCAAAGTTATTTGCATGAACTCCTTCACTATCCAGCAGCTGAGCAGTTTTCAGCAGGAGCTGGGCAGCCCTGACAGGCAAGGGTGTCTGCTGAGGGCTCACCCTACAAATCACTCAGCCTAAGGGCTGAAATTTTTCCATTGACCCCAGGCATGCTTATGGCCCAGTTACTGATAATTTAGACTGAATCCAAAGCTTGATTACATACTAGTCAGTTGTTTTACTTAACTTCGCTCTTTGGCTTCATGTTTGTTTTTTATTTTCTCATTTCCTTGTTTTTAAGCTATTTCAACAGCAAATGTTCCAACCCTACTGCAATAAAGATTCACCCACTGTGTGTCCATTTCATTTTTCCCTCTGGGGAGCAAAAATTTTAGAAGTCAGTAAGGCTTTAAGTAAGCTGGATAATCTTCACTGGGTATACTACATACCTGGGAAACTTAGTAGTCATATATATGTGGTTAATTTGAGTCCAGTATCATTATGCATACACAGAAAAAGAAGTAATTTGAAAGCTACAAAATTATGCTTTCTTTATTATTTACATAAGTAGATGATGACCACTTATAACTAATAGAGCCCTTGAGGGAGCAGGGATCATTCCTGAGTAGTCCCAAACAGGCCCAAGTTGATGTTTTGTTCTGTGTGGAAACTTTGAGACATGTTTTCAGAAGAGAAAAAAAATAGCCTTCAAAAACTTACATCTTAGGAGACCATTCACCAGCAGCTGTGAAGTTGGCCTACTGTTTATCCTGACATGAGTGCTTTTACTCTGTGCCTTGAATCATCAGGATAGGGTTAGTCTTTACAAGTCACATTTTCTGTGAAGTGGCCATTGGGGGACAATCTGCTGTCAGATAAATGCTTCTAAAGAAAGAATTACTGTTTAAATAGATGTGACTTCATATGCCATGAAAGCCCAAACTAATAACGGGAACATTCTAGTATTCTCTCTAAAGAAAGAAAGAAAAAAAAAAAGGTAGTCTTTCAGGTTTATTTTAAATACATTTTTTTAAAATTTACTTAAAGGCACCTTGTTCATGAGGAAGCAGAGGTAACATTATGGAGAGCAAGTGTCGTTTTATTATACCTTTGATGGTCTATTAATTTGTTACCATCTATTCCTCTTTGTTGATGAAATTTTAATTTTGCCCTTACTCGAGCATATTGTAAGAAATGTATACACTGCTGCTCCCCAGGCTGACAAAAAGGTCCTTGTAGACAGAACAAATGGGAGCTCATTTTATTTCTAGAGTACATTTAAAATAACTTACGAATGAGAGTTGTCAGACATGAAATGCTGTATTAATTAAATCTTTTTTGAGTCTTTTTGCTACTCTGGCTACACCAACCCTTTCGAAAAATACAGGGCCACCTTCATTACAGAGGCGAAAACAAAAAGTATCCTTCACATTCCTCCGCCTGAATAAGGATAAGTACTCAATTCATCTCAGTAATAACCCCATTAGCTGCTTAACTCAACAGTGCACATGGGAAAATTTTCTAACCACAATGTAAAAAGTGTTGATTGGGTAGATCTTTGTCACAGCTTTGTTCTTTTAATGTTCAAAATTATTATTTTAAGTAACTCTGGTATGTCATAACTAGTAGCTTTAGAGCAATTGTGACTTAAGAGAAAAGATTCATATCTGTATCCACTAATGCATTTCTGTCTTTTAAAATCTAGCAACAGTACCATTCAAAAATAGATGATTTGATTGACAACACTGTGAAAGAAATCATTTCAATGCTAGTTTCAAAGGTAATGTATCACTCACCTTTTTTAATGAAATTGAGAAATTTTTGGAACTATCTCTTATGTCTCTGTCTATATGAAAAAATGTAGTTTAAAAAATAAATGTGGGTTTAATTTTGTGGCAGACTACCTATTTTCTATGCACAAGGCCCAGGGTTATATCCTCAGCAATACAAAATAAATAAATACATGCATACACACAGACACACACACACACACACACACACACACGCAGAGAGAGAGAGAGAGAGAGAGAGAGAGAGAGAGAGCAACGAACTTTAACTTTTAAGAAAAACTGTGAACAAGAAAAATCTATGAATACTGTGTCAACATTGGGAGTTCATTTGTTTATAAAGATTTTTGTCTGTTCTTGCAAATGTTGTCCTTTGAAAATTTAATCTACCTTTTAGAAATACCTTATTATTTGACATTCATGAACTCTATTTTAATTTCAGAGCAGATTTGAGTATCTTCAGTCTTTGAACTTAGCCTGTTTGCTGTAGTGACATCCCTGGTCTAGTCTCAAAGACAGACAAATCTAGAAGCATGGTATCAGAACTCCTCCACTCCAGAATTTCCTCTGATGTGTGGAGTATCTTTGACAAATGTTATACTCTCATTGTATAGGTGCAAATGAAGAATAAATGGCTGTGCCATTTAGCAATTAGATGATTTAGAGTTCACTAAGGTATAACAGATTATTATGGGTACCAGTTGACAAGATTGGGTAGCTTCAGGCTAGTATGATCATAGATATGGGTGGCATTTGAAATCAAGGGCTGACTAGGAAGGGAACAGAGATGCTGAGAGACCAGCTTAAAGAGGTTGAGAAATCATTGGCTAATGGGCACAAGATGCCAATCAGAGTTGAGGAAGACACTAAATTACACAGAGAGCAGTTAGAGTTGCTAGTATTGAATCATCTAATTCAAAATACTTAGAAGTTTTTAATGTTCTCAACATGAAGATGAGATAATGGGAAAACTAAGCATCCTGTGTTGATTAACACACACCCACTGTATAAAGGTACCAACGCATTATGCTATACCCCATCACAATGTACTTGTCTTTTTTTAAATGATGAGAAGATAAAAATCGGTGTTCTACAAGTGGAACTTTGATATGAGCATTTATGTCTTGCTCTTCCAAGGCTTTAATGTCAAAGAAGTTCAAGTCAGGCTTCATAGAACAACTGAAAGAATGCCTCAGATGCAAAGAAAAAACCAACACCAATTTTTTAAGTAAAGGACTTGTTGTTTAGGAAACAATATGAAAGTGTTAGGCCTCATTAATAATTTAAGGAATTCAGATACTACTGTTTCCAATAAGTGAATGCAGATGATTTCAAGTTAATACTATTTTAAAATATAAAGTGATCTACTCCAGTTTTGTTTATATAAAATCTAAATTAAAGGCACATGCCTTTAATCCCAGCACTCCGGAGGCAGAGACAGGTGGATCTCTGTGAGTTCAAGGCCAGCCTGGTCTACATAGTGAGTTCCAGGACAGCTGGAGCTACAGGGAGACCCTGTCTCAAAAAGATCAAAAAAAATAAATTATTACCTTCTCTCTGGAAGGTATTTTGGAAATATCAAGTGCATTAATACCCCTTCACCTTTTCGTAATTTTTCACAGTATGCACAGATGCAAAAATATACCTGATCAGACTTTGTAGGCAACTTTAATTTATTAGAGAAATGATATAAATTATAGATTATCTGTATTAAACTATAATTTCAGGAACTGTTAATGATAAAACATATTTCATAATATAGTATTAAGGGGCAAATGATTAATCCTTAAAAATATGAGGTATGATCTGAATTTTCATTGCCTCAGAAAAATACTATTAAGGAAAACACCTCAGTGTTAACAGAGGGCATACTCAGTCATTCTAGTTGATTTGGGTTTGTCGTTTGGGTGTCAGGGTTAGGTGTTTGTTTCGGTTTGGGTTTTTGTTTTGCTTTGCTTTCATTTATGTGTATCAGAGGATGTGGGTGTATGTGGGTGTATTTCAAATTCTCTGATTACAGATCTTGAGGTTGGAAACAACCACAAGGAAAATGGTCTCATAGTAGTACCACATCATAGTTATTTCTCTTCTTTCTGTGGTCATATACGTGGGAAAGGCAGCTTAAGAAAGGAAGGTTTGTTTCGGCTGACAGTTTGAGAGTATACAGTTCATCATGATCAGGGTAGGTGAGGCAGCTTCAGACTTTGTCTACAGACAAGAGGCAAGAGAGATAAATGCTGGAGCTCCTCTTGCTTTCTTCCTCCTACTCAGTCCAGAACCTCAGACCACAAATGGTACTGCCACATTTACAGTAGATCTTCCTTTCACAAGCAACACAGTCTCAACATGAAGATGAGATAATGGGAAATAATCTTGATGATTAATAATCTAGATAAATAATCTAGGTAATCTTGGTGATTCTAGATGCTATCAAGTTGTCAATCATTATTAACTATCACATACATCTCCAGATTGGTTTTACTCCCTTGATGTCTCCCGTCACACCATACCTGCGATGTACATCATCCCTCACACACTCGCCAGCAAGTGGAAAGGGAGGTGAATAAAAAGTAACCATCCAGCAGGTGGTGGGGCTCAGAAACTCCTGGAGCCTCTTGAGAAAGAATAGTGAGAATTCTACCCTCCACAGAGCAAAATATAGCAGCTTACAGTGTTGCACAGCCTGTCTTCTAGTGTGAAATTAAGTCAGCCTTGCCCCTTTTCTGTGAAGCATCTGGGGAAATTTTATCTAGCTACAACCTTTCTGTCAGCACAGTTATCTTTGAATATTGCCTTTTTGCAAAGTATATAATTATAAGGCAGTCAGTCACTGCATGCTAGCATGTAACTGGTTTAGAAATATTTTTTTAAAGTTCAACTAATTTTTACTTTTATTTGAGGGAAGGTTTCTGGGAACAGCAGGCAGAATTGCGCAACACCTCTGCAATTAATTTTGGAGAAATTAATAAATAAATTTTCCTGTATTAGATGCACGTGATGAATTAAAAGAGTATATGTGAATATTGAGTTAAGTTAGGGAATGGTATTATAAAAATCAGAACAATCTGATAGAAATTTCCATGATGGTTAAAAATTGCTTATCCTTCATGATCTGACACAGTAGCTACCAGCATATTTGCCATGGAGCACTTGAAATTTAATTTCATTTAAGTAGCCTCATGTATTTAGTGTCTGTTTGGAAATGAAGGATAAACTAGCTTTTTCCATGGGTTATTTCACCTGCTATGAAACAGTACTTATAAATTGCCTTTAATTGTTTAGTTGAAGAGTGTCAACTAACTGAACAAAGCAACCATCCATTAGAAGTGATAATAAATAGTAGTGTTTTTTTTCATTGATTCCTCACTTGCATAGGCCATATTTTCTTTATCCATTCATCTGTTGATGGCATTTAGGCTGATTCTATAACTTGTCCTGTTATGAATAATAATACAGTTAACAGCTATACAGGTATCATATGGATGGTGTCATTATTGTTATGGTGGGATCACACAGTAGTTCTGAAGCATGGCTGCACTATTTTCTACAGTAGGTACATGGATTTTCCTACCAGCAATGGATAAGAGTTCCTTTTTCTGCACACCCTCACTATACTTTGTTATGTGTTTTCCTTTGTTCTTATTTTTCATTTCTTTTCTCCTTTTATACTATTTTCTTGCCTATTCTTCTGGTGTGATTTATTCTTTTTCTATTATCTCATTATTATATATTCTCTTACTTTCTTTAGATAATGTTATTTTGTGCATGTTTTAAAATTCTGGCTTAGTGGACTTGCATTCCTTTTGTTAAATGCTTACGTTGAAAGCGTCTTATTTCTCTGTCAACTTTTAATAATGGCTTTACTTGATATAGTAAACTAAGTGGGCAGTTCTCTCTCTCTCTCTCTCTCTCTCTCTCTCTCTCTCTCTCTTGCTCGCTCTCCCTCCCCCTCCCCCTCCCTTCTTCTTTCTCTACTTCCCTGTCACTGCCTCCCTCTCTTTTTCCCCTCCTCCCTCCCTCTGGCTTTTAGAGGTTTTGCTGAAAAATCTGCTGTCATCCTGATAAGTTGCCTGTATAGGTGATTGGCACTTTTCACTTATAGCTGTCAACATTCTTTTTCATTATATACTTTCAGTGGTTTACAATGTAATGTGGAGGGCCTTTCTGGTCAAAGCTGTTTGGGGTTCTGAATGATTCTTGAACCTAAATGCTCATATCATTCTCAAGATTTAAGGAGTTTCTACTATTATTTCACTGGATGGGTTTTCTCTACCTTTAGAGTATACCTTTGGTATTTCATCAATATTAGTTACTTGAAATTTTAGTGTTTTAATCATATTCCTTATAGTATTTTATCATAATTTTTGTCTTCATTACTATCTGAATGTGTTTTTCATCAGTCTTGTCTTCAAGCCTTCATATTCTTTCTTCCACATTATCTAGTCTATTGTTGAAACTTTCAGATGAGGTTTTCATTTGACTTATTGAGTCTTGTTTCTGCAATTCCAGTTTGATACTTTATGAAATATTTTTCTATTGAATTGTTCTTTCAGATCCTATAATTTCTTTAATTCTTTCAGCAGATTCCTTATATTTTCCTTGAATTCATTCAGTATTTTAAAAATTAGCTGTTAGTTCTTTGCCCAGAATTTGATCAACCTCAGTGTCTTTGGATTTGGTTACTGAAGAATTATTAGGGATATGGTTAGTGAGATGGTCAACAGATAGAAGCACTTATTTCCAAGTTTTATGACTTGAGTTTGATCCCCAGAACTCATGTGGTAGGAAAAAAAAAAAAGGACTGATTCCTATAAGAGGAATGTTTCCTTGTTTTGTCATATTTCCTGTCCTTGGGATTTGCATGTCCCTTGGGATGACTATCTCTTCCATATCTAGCTGAAGTTATAGGCAGTCTTCTCTTAAGAACCTGCTTCCCTATACTTTAAAGACAAGAGAAAACAAACAGTTCAACAACACAAAAACCAGATATGGA